TTTTTCTCTTTTCATCCTAGGAGTTTTTTCTCTTTTCTCCATGAGCTTCAGTTATTATTCTCTTTTCTGGGAGATTTCCTAAAYTGAAGATTTCCTAACTTCTCAGAAGTATGCTCTAGCATTAATAAGTTCCATTGGTAACTTTTACCTGTGCTAACTGATCACAGACCAGCTGCATTTCCATACTGTGGGTGATATCCAGGAATCAAAATGTCCATCCAGGAATCAAAGACTTGCCAACCCCATCTTCTCATCCTTCCTTTTCTCAAATCATACTTTTACCATATTTCAGTGAGTCAGGGTTGACCTAGCAAATCCCACTTCTGACACCAATGCTTTCTGAGGGCCCAAGACGACCCTTGTGTTCAGTGGTTCAGTTGAAGAACTCAAAGAACTCAGCAAAGTGGTCATACACACGGTCACAGTTTATTACAGAAAAAGAGTACAGATGAAAACCTGCAATGGAAAAAGTTACGCAGGGCAGGGTCCAGAAAACGTCAGGCACAAATTTCTGGTTGTGATATGGAAATGGAATTAATTCCATTAATTTTCCCTGTACAACGTGTGACAACATGCACAGAGTATTGCCCAAAAGGAAACTCTGGAGCCTTGTTGTCCCAGAGTTTTACTGGGGGTCAATGGTGTAGATATAGTTGGCTATCCATGTGGCTGACCTTAGTTCAACCCCCTCCAGAGACCAAAGTGAGAGTGCATGGTCCAGATCCCCCAGAATGAATCACATTTGTTGGCAGAGACTATCAACTCCCATTAAATGAAAACACTTGCATTAGGCAAAATATTCCAAGGACTTGGAGGGTACCTCTGCAGAGCCCAGAAAGAGATAAATTATTCCTTAGAATGAGGAGGACTTAGATAATCCAGACTTGCTSAGTTAATTCTTTACTGCATAATATCCACTGACATATGCTGGTGGTTCTCCACTCAGCTCCCTTTACCAACTAGTGCTCCACCCCACTGCTGTGTTTGCTGCTCTTAGGTCACAGCTGTCTGTTCTCTTCTCCAGACAAATGCCCTCAGCTGATAGGTGCTGCCTTCACCCACCTCCTAGCCACCACCTCTCTCTCCCCTTTTCTCCTTGGAGGAGCCACAGCCACTGACTGACTGGCACAGATACATGGGACAAACTCAATAGTGCAATTCACCTTGCAGAACCAACTGCAGTCAGAGTCAGGTTAGAGTCCAGCCAAGACCACATCCTTGTTCAGATGCGGCCCTGTTCTGCTTCCCTTTCCTCACTCCCCAAAAAGTTGTCCTCCTGAAAGCACTCCCTCTGCAAATCATGTGTGCACTCTGCTTTTAGGAATTATGACCAGTATCAGGCACAGTACCTGGCACTTAATAAATGATTGTTGAATGAAAAATACACTCTGGCTCCATGCAGTGGTGCATGCCTGTTATCCCACCCGTGGTACAGGCCTGTAATTCCAGTGACTCAGGAGATTGAGGCACAAGTTTCGCAAGTTTGAGTCCTGCCTCTGCAAATTAGTGAGGCCCTAAGCAAGTTAAAGCCTGTCTCAAAACAAAAAAATTAAAAGGGCTGGGGATGTAGCTCAGTGATAAAATGCCCCTGGATTCAATCCCTGTACCAAAAAGAAAGAAAAATAAACTGAGTAAATCACAAATGGAACTCTCTAAGAAACGTATGCAGAGCACCTGGCACACAGCAAATCTTTTTTTTTAATATATAAAATTTTTATTCATTAATTATATATTTTTAGTTATACATGACAATAGAATGTATTTTGACATATCTTACATACATGAAGTATAACTTCCCATTCTTGTGGTTGTACATGTGGAGTTACACTGGTTGTGTATTTATCTATGAACACAGAAAAATTTTGTCTGATTCATTCTACTGTCTTTCCTATTCCCATCAATCATCCTTTCCCTTTATTCCCCTTTGTTTAATCCAATGAACTTCTTTTCTTCCCTCACCACCCACCAATTGTGTGTTAGCATCCTCGTATCAGAGAGAACATTTGACCTTTGTTTTTCGGGGGATTGGCTTATTTTGCCTAGCATAATAGTCTCCAGTTCTATCCATTTACTACCAAATGCCATAATTTCATTCTTTATAGCTGAGTAATATTCCATTGTGTGTATATAAATATATGTATACACACACACAATACATTTTCTTTATTCATTCATCTGTTGAAGGGCACCCAGTTTGGTTCCATAGCTTAGCTATGCACACAGCAAATCATTAAGGAGGATTAGTCACCCTCCATTCACCAACCTCTTGCATTATATAGTTTCCTCATCTTGGTGGAATCATAGGGATATTACCCTCAGATCTGTATGTCCAGGAAAGAAATCTTGCTCATGCATCCAGAATTGATCTGGCTTGGGACAATCTTAAATCTTAACATTAATGGGCTCATTTACAAAGACAATTGGAACTTATGGGGGGAAAAAAGCTAGGATTCTTCCTTATACTCTATCCTCTGTTATATATACCCTATCCCCTGTTATACCTGATCCCCTTATAATCAAATATATTTCAAAAGTCCAGTTGCTAGATAAAAAAGAGTTAGAACAAGAGAAATCAGTGGATGGTCCCAAGGGCTAGTGGTCTTGACTCAATGTTCTGCCAAGCCTGTTGGATGATCCTGATCCTTTTTATCTCTTTCCTCCTCTTAGAGGCTGTATGGTCACTGTCTTCCTTGCCCCTACCCCCATCACTTCCTTTGAAGTAAGATATGGGGACAATGACTCATTTCTACTCTTTCCTTTTAAGTCACTATACCACGATGTTGTGGAACACACACTATCCATTTACAGATTATCAGTGGAGATTTGTTTCTCTTCTAGGTGAACAGGCCCATCATTACATGTTCATCTTCCTTAATTTAAATATCAGAGGGTAAACTTAACCTGCAATTTGGTGCCTGCAATCTGTAGCTCTCTTAAGTATACAGCCCCTGTCCCATTTCTGGAGCCCCAGCATCCAGAACACATCCCCTAAACTGTAGTGCTTAGAGGACACCTAAAAGGCCCCCTCCTGTCCCATCCCCATTTGGCAGGTCACCTGAGATCCCAGCCCCAGAAAACCTCGGGTTGTATCCTGCATTCCAGGGATGCAGTTCTGAAAAACCCCACCCACACCTCACTCTCAGGGAAGAGAGATGGGGACAGAGAGATTGAATGGCTTGCTCACTCCTGCCTTGACAACTGGGAACTTACAGGAAGAAGAAAGCAAGCCCCTCCTCCCTTGGACAGCTGCCCAATCAGTGTTAGAGTGCCTTCCTGACAACCCAGATCCCATGGGAGAGCCCTAGGACAAAGAGTGAGCAGAGGCAAGAGGATGAGTCTTAGTTCTCAGAACTCACCCGTTTGCTGGCTAAACTAGGCCACTAGAGCTTATGAGGCCAGACCAGCTGTAGCCCCCTCCCTCTCCCAGGGTCCTACCTGTTAACAGGTCACAATGCCCCAGCTGTTCAGTCCTAGGATGGCTGATCAAGGTGGGAGGAGGTGAGAAGGGTTAGTGGGTGGGCAGGGTGGGGAGGGGAAGATACCCAGGATCCAATTCCCTATACTCTGAGCTCACACTTGAGGATCTGCTAGAGACCTACCCCCTCTTCCTCTCCACTCCTCCTCCCCGCTTCCAGCACTAGCTCTTCCCATCACCTCCAACTCCTCCATGACCCGGCTCTGCTTACCCAGGACCAAAGCCCTTGTAGATCTGAACCCACTCCCTTCCAAGGGCCTAGGTGCTGGGGAGGGATTGGGAAGTGCAGTCCATCCATGTGTGTCCCCCTGGCACCCTAGCCAGGCCCAGCTCCTGGACAGTGTCCTGGGGCTGGGGGCGCTAGGGCTGACAATTCGAGCAATCTTTTGCTCGGCTGGCCCAGCCCTGCTGCTGCTGCTGCTACTGGTCAGCTTYCTCACCTTTGACCTGCTCCACAGGTAAGTGGGCAGCGGCCTGGTAGATGGGCGTTGTATGCAGGTGGGCAAGTGGCTGACTTCCCTAAGTGCAGCTGCTTTCCCTTTCTCTCTACAGGCCCTCAGATCCCACCATACCGCAACACAGACTTCTCACAAGGGGCCAGAGTCAGGGGGCCGGTGAGGGTCCAGGACAGCAAGTGGCTCCTCTCCTCCCAACGGGGGCAATCCCGGGACAACTCAGCCTCCAAGACGCACTACTCCTGCTGGGCCTGGGCCTGGGGCTGCTCCTGGGAGCCCGAGGCATGCCCTTGGCCCTGCTGGGTGTGGCTTTCTGCCTCCATCCTTGGGCTTGACGGCTCTCCCAAAATACTGAGTGCCCTCCAAAAATACACTGGTCATCCTGCTTCTTGAGGCCTCCTTTCCTCCATCCTAGGCWAGGTTGTGTGGGAGAACACTTCTTTATTCTTAGCCTGAATCTCAGAGGATCTGTGGCTCCACAATATGGACAGTGGATGGCTGGGTGTGGGGCTTGGGACCAGCAAGAAAAGACAGGATATGAAGCAGGGGGCTCCAGGCAGGAAATGTCAGGCTTCTCAGGGCCTGCAGGTTGGGGACAGCCATTCTGGCCTCCTCTGTGGTTCTAGAAAATGAGGGTCCAGAGAGGAAAACTTGCCAGAGAATAGGGTGGGCTGGTATCAATCATAAGAGAAAGGGCAGGGATGGRAAGGGCTTCCCTCAAGAAAGTCTGAGAAACTACTTCTGTTGGACTCCCCAGGGCCCCCTGCTAGCCAGGAGAGTCCATAGAGAGGGACTCTACAATGACTCTTCTCTTGGCCAGACCCCACCCCAGCCCGGGTCACAATGGGGCTCCTCTGGGGAGGTGGGGGAGGGTAAGAGTTGGGGCTCGGATTGGCGGCCAGCCTGTCCTGGGTGCAGCAGGAAGCAACATGACTTAGGTGGCTCTATCCAAAGGTAAGACCTGTTCAAAAGCCCTACCCTGCCCACATTGATGCCCCCCTGTCCCATGCACTCCCACCTGCCCTGAGGTCCCAAGCATCTCCAGGGCTGCTCCTGCAGYTGGCCTGGCCCTATCCACAGGTGCACCAGCCGTGATGCAGCAGCCACGAGTGGAGACGGATCCCATCGGGGCCGGCGAGGGGCCGCAGCGGGCGGTCCCCTGGTCGGTCTGGGTCACCCGGCAGGGCTGGGTGCGCTGGTGGGTATGCCATGTGCCCCAGAGCTGGGCCCAGTGGTGGACCACATCAGGTTTGCGGCAACCCCTGCAGCGCGTGCTGTGGGGTCTGGAGGGGATACTCTACCTGCTGCTGGCTCTGATGCTGTGCCAYGCACTCTTCACCACCGGTACCCACCTGCTCAGCTCCCTCTGGCCTGTGGTGGCCGCCATGTGGCGCCATCTGCTGCCAGCCATCCTGCTGCTGGTGCTAAGTGCCCTGCCTGCCTTGCTCTTCACGGCCTCCTTCCTGCTGCTCTTCTCCACACTGCTGAGCCTCGTGGGCCTCCTCACCTCCATGACTCACCCAGGCCGTGCTCAGGACTTGGACCAATAGAAGGGCATCCCCATTCTGCTGCCTGTGTCTGTTGAGCCCTGACCTAGGGCGTGAGCCCTGGGGAGAGGGAGGGCAGAGGGTCCTCAGCAGGCCCCAGACTCCAGTCTCAACACAAGTCAAAGCTGTGTGGTGTGACTGGAGCCAACAGGTAGATTGGCCTGGCCTCTTGCACCTTCCTCAGGATGCTGCTGCAGGTTCCTGGTGTGAGGGCCAGGCTTTGAGGAGACAGGACAGATGGCTTGGCCAAGGGCAGAGCTTGGTCAAGTCACTGAGAGCACCCATGTGGATGTGGTAACATCGCTGGGGTTGCCTTGGCAACTGGAAGCATCTTTTTGTCACAGCTGCTCAGCTGTCTCAGATTCAGACTTTCTGAAGTAACTGGGTACCCCTGGACTTGCCATTGCTCCCACCAGTCCCCTTTTTCCACTTTCAGGAGGATCGCAGGCTCTAGAAAGGGTTCCAGTGATAGAAACCTACATAGGAGAGGGCTGAGCCCTGCTCACCTTCCAGAGCTTTTTGCCCAGGCATTCCTGCTCCCTATTCTTCCTACTTTTTGCCTCAGTTTATACCACCAAATCTGGAAAATGGGCCAACCAGAGTAGTGAGTTTTATTTTCTCTCCCTCCCTCCCTTCCCCTTCCTCYTCCCTCCCTCCCTTCCTTCTTTCCTTCCTTCCTCCCCAACCCCTTTCTTGTGGTGCTGGAGATAGGATGCAAAATTTTATGTATGTTAAGCATGCACTCCAATATCAAGCTACATCCCAGCCCCTACCTATGCATTCTTTCAAGAGTCTACATGACTGTTACAGAAAAACAAGCAAGTCCCATTGCAGTCACTTACACAATGTGTGGTTTTGGTCAATTCTTTTGAGTCTCAGGGTTGACTCAAGCCTGTCACAAGATTGTTGCCAAAGGTAATACCTGCTTGCAAAATACTTTGTAAAGGCAAAAAAAAAAAAAAAAATGGGAACATTCTTGAGGTCTTATGACCAGAAGACTGATAAGAAAGCAAGAAACCTCCCTAGGCTTTCAGAGAAATGCTTTGTCATATATAAAATTTTGGCTCTGAGTTGGGAAATAGAGGATGGATGGTGTAGACAAGATGTAAAAAGTCATGTGCCATGAAATCTCAAAATTTGCAGATGTTGAACTCTTATGATTGTGAAATGCTTGGTACTGGGGCTTGGTGGCCAGAAGATGCTCACATGGCTGTGTGAATGGGGAGAAAACAGTTCAGGCATTTCCTAAACTGACTCAGCAAGCTGCTCACAGCCCAGAAAGGTTTTGCAAAGTGGTGTCACTTGATGCTCCAGATTCTGGCCATTTGCACATCTGTTGACTCTTCCAAACAAACACTGGGTAATAAGTTATTGCCAAATAAAGTATATGAAAGAAAATTACCCACAGCTGGGACCTGCCCACCTAACTCCCACTCAGCCCCTGATCCTCCCCAACTCCTGCCAMGACCTGGCTCCTACTTTACAGCTAACCCTAAAATCCTTGCTCCTGAAGCCCTAGACCCAAGATCACCTGTCTCCTGCCACAGAAATACTCATGCCCTGGGGACTAACCAGCCCCTAGAACCCTGGATCATTTTCCCCAAATCCACTTGCTATAGCTTTGTGCAGATGCCTTCAGCTTCAGTGTCTGAAACCCAAGAACCAGTCCTTTCCATTTCTCTGTAGTTTTCCCCTGAAACATGACCTGGTAGCAAGGGCAAGGTGGGATATGGAGGTGGCTTAGCTTTATGATTAGCATGATGTACTTTGCTGGGGCTAGGCTTAAATCTGAGCACTGTCACTGGCATTGGTGGCAATTACTAAGCCTTCCTGAACTTCATTTTTCTTAAGGATGAAACAAGGCAAGGGCACTTGTCTTAGGGCTTCTGTGGGGCTCCTGGAATGTAGGGAAAGTGCTTGGACCAACTCCTAGCATCACAACCTAGAGCTGTATCATGACTATCCCACTTGGTGAGAAGTCAGACTCAGGATGGCTGATTGCCAGTGGGAGAGTCAGGACTTTTGAGTCCCAAACCCCACAAACACTACTGAAGGGAAAGACCATACAGGGCAGAGAGAACCCAAAAAACGAACGGAAACTCTGCGGCTTCCCTTGTTCTCAAAATTTCCTGCTAGAGATAAAACCCAAGGCTCTGGAGGTTATAAATCAAACCAGTTGATGTCTGGTGGGGATGGACCCTAGGATGCCTGTCCTGTCCATCTTTGACTTGCTGTGCCTTACTATCCAGGGACATCTCTCTGGACACTTGAGGCCATTCCAATCAAAGGAGAAAGAAGGTTTGGACCCATGCCAGATGCACAGGGGGCAGGGATGTGGGCAGGAACAAGAAAAAAAGCCTTTCCCCCACATAGATATATACCTTCCACTCTCCTACCCTGGTGCAGCCAGACTGGAGAGCAGAAGGGTAATACTTTCTAAATTAGACCAACACATACCTTATGACCCAGCAACCCCAAATAAATTCTCACAGAAGTCCACAAGGGCCTTGCTCTGCAAACTGTGCAGGACCAGCAGTATAAACATCTCCTGGAAGCTGTTGAGAAATGCAAAGTTTCAGGCCCCACCTACCGAATCAGAAACTGCATTTTAATAAGATTTCCAGGTGATACTTGTGTGCATGAATATTTGAGAAATGCTGTATAAGGGAATATGTTTGAGGATATTACTGCACTGCTCTTGGTGGGAGCAGGAAGATGGAAGGGATAAATATGGGCCAAGGAGAGGCGGCAACATGGATTAGTATTAAAATCTTAGGACTCATGAAAAGAAACCAAATGAGAAACAATGCAATTCCTTTTGCATGAACTTAAAACATATGCCAGTAAAACTATGTATATGTATGTGTGTATATATGTATGTGTATGTATACACACACACACATACACACACACATACATACATGTATATATTTCACAAGAATACATAAAAACAAAAGATAACCAAAATGGCATGGATCACAGGGGCAGGAAAATGGGAATGGGGTGTAGAGGTAAAAGATAATAAAATGAAAGACCTTGCAGAGAAGAAAAATGATGATGTCAACACAATTCCTGAAATTCCTTTTAATGTAGACATTAGAGTCAAAAGGCTTAAAAATGCAATAGACACTCCGGAATGAAAAAGTTCTAAGCTTTTCCAGTATGGACCAAGAAAGAACTGTCCTACTGACCTGTGTGACCTGGGTGGCTGGGCGGGTATCTTTGCTTGTCCTGCTCGACTTTATAACCYGGTCTCTGGGCCCTCCCCAGCAGCCTGCTCTGATGGGGGCGGAGTGAGGGCGGGATCCAGCCACGTTTTGGCCTGGCATGWCAGGGTATTAGGAAACCGAGTGGAGGAGGGGTCATCCGCGAGGACACTGGCAGTCAAGTAAGTGCGGGTCTTTGACTGGACGCACATACCCTTGGGGGTTCCAAGGAGCAGGTGGCGGGTGGGGGGGGGCGGGTGGGATAAGCCCCGTAAGGCTTCCCTCCGCCCTAAGAAGAGGCTGCAAGGAGAAGGCGCAGCTAGAATGAGGCAAGGCCCTATAGGGGTTCGTTAGGGAGTGCTTGCTAGGGTGCACGCCTTGAGATGGATCATCAGTGGCTCACCTGGGGGAAGGAAAGGGGCCCTAGGAAAGAGGAAACTGTGCAGCCCCGGGGAACTTCCAAGGGCTGGCCGCAGGAAGCCGGGAAGGGAGCATTTTCCTTCAGACTTGTGGGTGGTTGGGGCTRAGCGAAGCTGGGAGTGGGAGGAGCGGCTCATCGGATCCAGCAGTCAGAGGCCTCAGGGAAGGAAGGAGATGGTGTTATCTGGGAGCTGGAAGCGGCCTGCACAGCCCTGAGAGGATGCCCCAGGATCAGGACGGGGCAGGCAAGCACAGCTGTGCTGGGGAATGCAAGGATCGTATCCGGTTGCGGGGGCGGGGGGGGGCCGCGGGGCAGGGTTAGGGGGTGGCACGAAGGCAACTGGAGCGCCTAGTCAAACAGTTGCTAACTTGAGGCTGGGGGAAAGTCGCGGTGGGGAATCCCTGCGCAGCATGGGACACTTGAGCCCAGCTGCCAGGTGCTGGGTACGGAGGGCGGCACTGCTCCTTTCCAAGGCTCAGGTGCGTGATGGCTGGCAGGTGTCCAGGCTGGAATGTTGACTGTGGGGCATATCYGGGATGGTGAGGGCCTGAGACTGGGAAGGAAATCCCATGACAGATCCAGGATTGGAGGGCCATAGGTAGCCAGGAAGTTGCTGGTGCTCCTGGAGCATCGGTAAGGGGCGCCCCCTAGAGGAAATCTYTGGAGTTGACAGTGCAAGATTGGGCTTGGTTGGGGTGGGAGAAAGAGGGAGGAAGAGATGCCGGTCCCACAGACTTGGACACCACTGGGAGTGAGACAGGGCCCAAGACGATGGAAGGGTATCTGGGACCCACTGTCATAACAGTGACAGCTTCGTTGCCGTCTTATCTCTTTCCCTAAGTGTCCAGCTTGGGTCTCCCCGCCAGACATCCAGAGGTTTTGAAGCTAGAGACTCATGAGAATCTGGGGAAGGAATAACACCAATGTAACCTGTTTGATTTGTCTCCTACTCTTGTCCCAGTCATGGTCTGATATGATCCCATTGCTCCTGGGATAAAGGGATGTTTTTCTTAAGGTTCTGTCAGGGTCAGGAGACACCTAATTTTGGACAAGTCATTTTTTTTCTTTCCTGCTCAGAAAACGTTTTCATTTATATTTTGTAAATTGCCTTGCTTTCTTAATACTGATTCCTTGCCTTTTGAATATTTTCCATCTTAACAATAAAAGAACTTGAAAGCTGGGGTTGGGGCTCAGTGGTAGACAGCTTGAATAAGGTGTGATGCCCTGGGTTTAATTCAAAAARTAAATAATTTAAAATTTGATTATCTGTTGTTTCTACTATATTTTCTGGCCTATACTACCTTTAAATGTCTAACCCAAAATATAAAATGAGAAATTCATCCATTTCTTTTATGTATCAATAGTTCAGTATTTTA